AAGCTCTTAGACTGCTGCAATGTAGGTGAGAGATCGATTCTATCATTGGCCAACTCGTGTCATAAGCTCGAGACATTGGTGATCGGCGGATGCCGTCTTATTTCCGACGAGTCAATCAGGTCCTTAGCTCTATCCCGCTGCGAAAGCTTAAGAATTCTGAGAATGAATTGGTGCTCCAACATCACGGATTTGACACTAAGCCTCATATTCTCAAAATGTAGATATCTTATGGATCTTGATATTGGATCCTGTGATAAAATAACAGATTTAGGCTTTGAGGGACTAAAATTGGGAGATTTTGTGTCAGAGTTGAAGGTTCTGAAGGTCGGAAATTTGCCGAGGATTACGGTGGTGGCTATAGGGATCATATTACAGTTCTGTAAATCATTGAGTTATTTGGATCTAAGGTCATGCCAACATGTTGCAAAGCGTGTTTGTGAGGAAGCTGGTTTGCAGTTTCCTGAGTTCTGCAAGATCAATTTTGTTGGAAGCTTGTTAGAGAGTGATGTTGATTTATTATGTTGAAACTTTAGATAAGATGGCTGGTATTGTTACTGGATTTTAAGAAGGATTTGGTTGTTGTTTGTATTAATAATAATAGGTTTTTTTTAGGGGCTATTTTGTTTATATTCCGGGTAATTCAGTTAAAAGATTCTGTAAATTTGGTTCCTCATAGTGGGACATTACTCACATACCACCCTAATTTTAGGGTATTTACATGTCGATCACATAGACTTATATTTGTTTATAAACATGTCATCATTATAATTTTTAAAAAGTATAAAATTTTACATTTGTTTAATATATATAAAAAATTAATATAAAAAGGAATAAAAAATATTATTATTTAATTATTTCGAGTCAAAATGAGCCAAACACGAACAAACAAATCTTTTTTCATCTTCGACTTGTTTATAAACAGGCTCAAAATAATTGTTCGTTTATGACTCACTTGTTTAACGAATGAATCAAACACGAACTTCTTAACAAGCCAGACATGGGTTTTTTTGACAACCCAATGTAATTTTTTATGCATAGATT